CCCCCCGCCGCCGCCGCGGGGGGAACACTGCCACCGGAGGTCGCCGCCGTCGCCACTGGAGCTGCCGCCGATGCTGCCGCTCCGGCCGCCACCGCAGGGCCTCCAGCCATTCCCCCCGCCGCCGCCGCGGGGGGAACACTGCCACCGGAGGTCGCCGCCGTCGCCGCTGGAGCTGCCGCCGATGCTGCCGCTCCGGCCGCCACCGCGGGGCCTCCGGCCATCCCCCCCGCCGCCGCCGCGGGGGGAACACTGCCACCGGAGGTCGCCGCCGTCGCCGCTGGAGCTGCCGCCGATGCTGCCGCTCCGGCCGCCACCGCGGGGACTCCGGCCATTCCCCCTTCCGACCCCCAAGAACGCCCATCTCCTCGAAAGCCCTGGCTGCTGAAGCCGAAGGTGCAGTGTTCGGAGTAGGTGGGCACCCCAGCCGGCGTGATGATCTTGTGCGTCGTAGAGGAATGATCCTGGCCTGAGTTCAGATAGAAGCACCGCTCCCCCTTGCTGTGCATCTTGGACGGGCGGTGACGGTGACGGAAGCCGGGCATCATGAACGGCAGAAGCACTCGGATCCTGCTCCTGCCGTACAGCTTAACTTCCGGGCGCCGCTTGTCTCCCTTGCTCACCTCCGCTGCGATGTTCAGAGAGTCGTTCATCCACGCGAAGGCCTCGGGCCAGATGGCCCGGAAGGACAGCGCCTTGGGCAGGAACGTAACTCCTNGGAAGCGGAGTACGTGGCGATGTCTGATGGGATGAAGGAGGCTATTTTTCTGCGGTATCTGTGGAAGTTTATCTTTCCGGGCCGTGATGTGGGGTGCACGCCGGTGTGGGAGGACAAAGTAGGCGCTATTCACTTGGCAAGTGACACGGCTGCTACTCCCAACTCGAAGCACATCGACATCCGCCACCATTTCATCCGTGAGCGTGTAGCGCGGGGGGAGTTCAAGGTAGTCCACGTAAAGTCGGACCTGCAACGCGCGGATTTCTTGACCAAACCGCTCCCCACGGAGATTTCATGCGCGCATCGTGACTTCGTGATGACTATTCGTTGATTTTGTTCTTTGTGTTGCACTATTTCAGCGATGGGGCCTTTCTTGCATCATGTATTTCNATTTCATCCGTGAGCGTGTAGCGCGGGGGGAGTTCAAGGTAGTCCACGTACGGTCGGACCTGCAACGCGCGGATTTCTTGACCAAACCGCTCCCCAAGGAGACTTTTTGCGCGCATCGTGACTTCGTGATGAATATTCGTTGATTTTGTTCTTGGTGTTGCACTATTTCAGCGATGGGGCCTTTCTTGCACCATGTGTTTTATTTGTGACCTGGTACTGGCCTTTGATCTGCTGCTCGATGTTGATTTCTGCTTTCGCGATGGATGGGATAGTTCTGCGTGAGAATCATGGGGGGGGAAGTATTGTTCCATGATCCTAGTCGCAGGTGGTTTGTCTTGGTTTTGATTTTTTTCGGGATGAATGATGCAGCAGGGGGGCTGTTGGATTGATTGATTGATTTGATTTTGACTTCACGTTCAGGATGGAATGGATGTTACAGCGGGGGGGCTGGTGGAGTGGTTTCGTTGTCAAGGTATTGGATGTCGAAGAGAGGGTTTGGCGTGTTATTTTAATTTGAACTGGCCATTGAGTTGAAACACGAATACTTATCTGAGGAATGAATTTCTTCTGAGTAGTCAGGACGTAAGGCACGTTTTCCCGGAGTTACCCGTCCTCCCCGTTCTGACGTGATTCTGATGTAATGTTGATTTTTTTGCTGGGTATTTTTCCAAGGGTGATTGTTCGTGTTTTGACTGCTTGAGAATTGGGTAGAGCACTTTTCTCAAGAGGGTGATTTGTTTTTCTTGACAGACCTGTTAGGGGTAGAAATTTGACATCAGAAAGGTTTGAAAGCTTTGCAGGACGTGTTCTGTTGGAACATCCGGCGATTTCGTGGTACATGTTCTATTGGCAGAGTCGTTTGGATTGGAATGGTGGATGATATGTTGTTACCATAGGGGTTTTGGTTTTTTCTGTCTGCCGTTTTGTCTGGCAATGATAGTCGTGTCGGGGATTTCGTCGATCGTATCTCGTACCGAGCAGGGGGGCTGTTTGGGGTGCTCGGCGGAGTATACTGTCTACGGGGCCTCCGGGGGGTACGCGCATGGAATGTATTGACGAACGTGCTGCATGGCGATGGTGTGGCCTACCGCATGTCTCCCACTCTCTAAGCAACAAGGTCTTGAGTCAACGTTCTTTCTCTTTCGGCCTCTGACGAGCTACCGCACCCAAACATCGATCCTACAAAGAACCTTGTTACACTTCCATCAAATCGCCCGTCCTGGCCACAAGGGTTTCCAGTTGAGGGTAACCTCTGCGTGTGGGTGGAGGTTGTTGTTTACCCTTATGTGACTACACCCACGAATGAGCTCCGTTCCCAGCTCCGATGACTCTTTAGTGCGACATTTATCGAACCGAATTGAGCCCGAACTGAGCTGTGGATACCTGCGTCGACTAGGGCTGGACTGGACGAACGAGTAGACCGTCGAAAAGAAACAAAAGAACGGCGGGGACAGCAGCAGTAGCGTCCCCTACACAAAAAAACAAAGCTTGGGAGTTGCAACGTTGCTGAGCATCCAGCCCGCGCTGTGAAAGAGACCGCAGTCCAGCAAGCAGAAACACGATGATGAGGCCATTTTTTCTCTTGCTCCTAGCGATTTTCGCACGAGCTCTATGAACACCCCTGCATTCGATTCGGACTCGGACCACCAAGGTGTGTTGCGAGTTGATAAGAGACAGGAGCTAGCTCCCCCACCGAGTGCTTTGGGCCGGAGGGTACAGAAGCACATCGATGGGCCTCAGGCGCTCAGCTTGAAGTGCAGCACAACGTTGACACAAGGTGGGAGGGTTATCACCCCCTTGGCTGGAGCTGGTGTGCATACTCTAGGAGGGGATGGCAAATGCGATGCGGGTGGAACGCGCTGCGTGCGGGTCTGCAAGTTTGCCTGGGTAGAGCGAGGACTCCCAACGAGCAGCAAATGCGGGCAGCGGTTGCCCGTAGAGCCATGGATGATAGATATACTTGTAGCAATGACAAGTGGTTGGTGCTGGATGTTCCGATGGAATGAGGTAGAGCGGAACACCGGGTGACATGTGTGGTACGTAGAATGGATTCCAGGGATGTACAAGGTACCCCTGTTGTATTCGGCGTCGCCCCCTCAACGGGGCTTGTGTGTGTATGTGGATGAAACTAATCACAACAAGTTTTTCTCCTCGGCTCAAGCTCGCCGAGTTGACGATACCCTATTCAACACACGTCTTGCGACAAGCTACCCCCAGTTCGGATTAGCCTAACACGCTAGCGTGGTCATATCACACGGGATCCCGAGGTGGGGCTAGCTACAAAAGGGTTCGGCCAGAGAACACTGACACGGAAATCATGGACCAGCAGCTGGATGAGCTCCAGCTCTCGGACGAGCAGCGAAAGGTAATCGACGCTCTTATCAAGGAGCAGGTCAAGATCAAAGTAGAAGAAGCAGCAGCAGCAGAGCGCCCCGCAACACAGAGCGAGGGCATGCCTTCCGAAGGAGGCGACACCCGGCTGGAGAGGCCGGCTGGCTCGGAGTCAAGCCCGCGACCCGAAGACCAGCCCCGATCGCCAGCGGACGTCAGCCTCATCGACACCCTCGCGCGGGCCTTGCAGAGGGTGAAGATAAGAGCGGAGGATGAATACAGGGAAGTCCCAACCCCTAAAGGAACAATACGCATTAGCGCAGGTATCACAATCCCTGCATTCACCGGGAAGTTTAGCCCCGAGGATGATGTACAGACGGCGGTAATGGTTTTCACCAGTTAACTTCGATCTTTGTTGGAGCAGGAGCGTTGCCTTGGGGCAATAGAATCGAAGAACACGAATCGTGTAGGGACGACGGATGCGAATATCTCGGCATTGAAGGTGGAGCATGGGACGGAAGTTGTAGATCGGGCGGTTAAGGCTTGGCAGCTAATTATATCCAAGATACAAGTACCGACAATAGTCTCTGCAATCCTACCTAGTGGTTGCCCCACTGAATCGTGGGATCAATTTGTCAACTTTTACCGAGTGCACGCAGAAACGGACAAGTTGGAGTTGCAGGGGCAGTGGTACTCGTTGAAGCAGCAAGTAGGGGGGGAGCCCCGGCGCTATCTCACAAAAGCATCGGTACTTCGCCAGAAACTAGAAGCCTACAACAAGGTTGCGAGAAAAATGGGAACTAATTTTGAAATGGGAATGAACACCACCCCCGTCTTGTGTTCACCCTTTGGATTTAGTTATGATCGAA